GCTTGCCCCCGGGGGCCTGTCGGGTGGAGCTGCGCCCGGTGGGAGCGGGGGGAGGCGGGACGGTGCTTCTCCAGCCCGGCTGTCCCGCAGTACCAGCCGGCTGCCGGACGGACGGGCTTCGGGCGGGAAGAGCCGCATCTACCCGTAGGGCTTGGCGCGGGCTGGCGAGAAACAAACACAATCTCATGGGAAAAAGGCCTGCGCGTTGTTGAGTCAGTTCCAAAAATAGAAAACTTGCCTTGTTTGGAGGGGGAGGGGTCCAAATGGTACAGTCCTGGAGGTGTTTGAGAGTCGGGTTGACCCAGCGCTAAGGATATGGGTGGAGTTGAGAACGGTCGGTGTGAGGGTTAGTGGTTGGACTCGTGATCTTCAAGGTCTTTTTCAACGGAGATGATTCTGTGAAATCGGGTACATTTGAACACTCCTCTCAGCTTTGTACACCTCTCTCCCTGAAGTCTTGGGAGTAAAGTGGCCGTGAGGTGTCCGCGGGCATGGCCTGGCTCCCGGGACTGGGCTCTGTGGTTAGGTCTGCATGGCTAAGCCCCGTCCGTCTGCATGGATTGCAGAATCGGGTCCATTGCAAGTTTGATTGCATTAATCAGAACTGCTCCAGCGATTGCAAGTTGCAGGCGGAAACACTTGATTTGTTTTGAAGTTTTCTTTTCCTACCAGCCAACTGGGTTTGAGAACAAGAAGTGACCTGGAACTGACTTGTTGAATGTTCCACATTATATCCTGTGCAAAACCCCCCGCTATTCCAGGGAGCAGGAAGGAATAGCCCCGCCCCTTTGCTGCATTTACTCTTAACTTGCGTTCAGTTTAGAGTACTACATTTTTAGATTTCAGTCACCAAGGAACTTCTATTGAGGTTGGTGTTAAACTGATGTGGCTATGTTTAAATCCCGTTTTCCATGTTGGTTGCCCTCAGCTAGTTTAGCAGGCAACTAATACTCGGTTGCAACTGATCTTGCCAGGCTGTCTTCTAGCTCTGCAGATACTCTTTTAAACATAATGTGGGTTGACTGTGAATACTGCATAGGACTTCAAGTGAGCACTTGTGCTTAAAAAGGACCAGAGAAGAATTATCTCATTGTTTTGGCACCTCCTACTTGAGTGCTGACAGATTGTTCCATGTGATTTCTTGCTCTATCCAGAGCTGAAGTTTGGGGCACTTAAATTCTGTGTTGTGAAAATGTAGTTGTTGCATCTGAGATTACATGCAAGGTGCTGTAAGCTGCTGAAGCCTCTTTCACTGTGAGACATTCTGTGATCACAGGCAAAACTTAAATTGTCAAGAGAAATACTTTCTTAATTTCTTCCCCTTTATGTGTCTAAGTTAAATCTAATTATGACATAGGTTTAAAGGCAACAAACATTCAAGGACCTAATGTAGCACTTGCAACAGAACTGAAGTTCTTGCAAGTTCTTTATTGGCTCTTAGACTATTAAAAGATTTCACCTTAGTGGGCAAACTGGAAGACATGGAAGCACCATTGGAGAGACCCATTCCTGTGACAGTGAAGAGCAAGAAGGCTGTTCCTTGTAAAGGAGAATGTGGGGGGTGAGAAGCATATTCTGGTGTGGGGGGAGAACAAGGCTCAGGTCCTTCGTACTGCTTTGTTGCTTTGGAAGAATAAATTGGTCCCTCTCTCTATAGACAGGTGTCAATATCATGTTTAGACCTTGGAGTGGGACTGGGTGACCAGGATTAAAGTAGGAAAGGAGTGTCACACTCCCTTTCAGTGGGCTGTCAGCTAAATGTTTGTTTTCCCAGCAAGTTGGTACAGAAGCCAAGAGGCTTATCTTGGAGTTTGAACTTTACCTGCAGGTGGTTCTCGCCACCACAGCCAAGCCTGTGCTGGATGTGGTGTTCCTTCAGTGTGAAATCCTGCTGGCTATAGTCTTGTATTTTCCCAGTACTGTGAAGAAGATGTGGCCACAATATCCAAAAGATGGCATATATACATCTGTCAGAAAATAAGTGGATGCTTACTAAATTTGTATTTTACTAGAAGATAAGAAAACTCTTCTTGACCTCCCTCCCCTCCTACTCAGCTTTACAAACATCCCTTGTCTGGGAGGAGTTCCTCTGTCTACCAAATCTACTGTGCCACCTTTCCCCCCCTCTTCTTATGCTGCTACAAGTAGAATGTTATCTGGTAGCTTTAAGTATCGTATCTGTCTCTCATACTGGCTTACAAGCCGTACAAATATTAATAATTTCTAGAAAAGGTAGCCTTCTCAAGGGAGGCTTAAAATGCTTCTGTTCTTGTTTTCCTAATTCAGTTGCATCTAGATATTTGTGTTTTTATTAATCTATTTTAGAACAATAGTCAGAACACCATTATGCCATAAAATAAAAACTCATCCTCCAATATATCATATGCTTGATCTCTTTTCTTTAGTGTACTCATAAACCAGCATGCAGTGGCTGAGTGCTTAATGTCATGTGTGATAACCTGAATTTAAGTAGGGTCCTTCCCATGCCATTTCAAGCTTCATTTAAAAGTTGTGGATAAACGGGAATCTCGCTGTATGGGCTTAACATAATTAATCTTGGAGGGAGCTAGTGATGATTTGGAAAAACAAGTCATAAAACAAACTTTCTCCTTCCTGTTTAAGATTAAACTCTTTCAGCTTGTGTTTTGGCTGAACTTTGAGGCAGTGAATGAAAAAAACAGAAGAGGAAGTACAGAAAAAGGGAGGTAGGGAAGAAGTGAGAGAGCTTAGTAACTTGAGACTGCAGAATACAGGAAGCACATGTATGTCAAGAGAACTTTGAAAGGAACTGATGATGAGTAAGGACACAGTCACTCCAGTCTGTCTCTTCCCCATATTGCAAGAGTGGTAGCTGTAAACTTCTGCATTTTCCCGTTAAACTTAAAAGTGGTCTCTGATAGTCAGCTTGGATTGCTAAAATTGCACATTTTTTCCATTTGTTAAGTCCTAGAATACTAGTTGTACCTTACTGAATATCTTCAGCTGAGATCTGCTGTGTCTCTTTGCAATGCTAGCTGGGTACATGCAGCTATAATGTATGATATTATACCTCAAGATGCCTCTTTCCAATGTATTATTGTGAAATTCTGAAAACTGTTTTTCTCCCTCTCACCTTCCTCTTCAGTCCACTAGATTAAGCAACAATGGCATTTGTGAAGAGCGGATGGCTGCTCCGGCAAAGTAAGTCATGGGCCTTTTACCTCCTTGTCTCCTCTCTGTGTCTAACTTCTCCAAAAAAACATTACAGCAATTTAGTAATTTCCAGGTCTTTCCTTGGTTGATTTGTTGGGGGTTTTTTAACCTTTAGGACACTTCACAAAATGACCTGTCATGACAGCATTTCCATGTGACATTTTGGGTATACCAGTGGGAAACAGGATATACCACATCTGAGGTGTCTGACTGGCATTCGGCTTCAGGTGCTGCTCTGTAATTAGTGCTGTATAAATGGAGACTTGGAAACTTTACCTGACACCTTAATTTAATATCTTCAATTAGTCATGCCCTCTGCTTGTTCTTGCAGCAAGTTAGAACTAAAGCGCCAGTTTAAGCACTTAAAATAAACTCAGCTGTGACTTTGAATACTAGATAAAATATGCAACCCATTTCTGTAGTATTCTGAAGTGGGGACATTGTAGTACAGGATTTTGCTTGGCACCTCAGAATGTCTGGGGCAACTGTGAGGGATTTCTTGGGTTTACTTTTTATTAACTCTAGGACACAAATACTTCCTAATATGAGCCCTCAAAAGTGACTGTCTGATTTTTAAGGTACTATTTTACGGCGTTGGAAGAAGAACTGGTTTGACCTGTGGTCTGATGGCCGCTTAATATTCTACGATGATCAAAATCGCCATGATATTGAAGATAAAATCCACATGCGAATCCACTGCATCAACCTCAGAGTGGGAAATGAATGTCGAGGTAAGAATGAAACCTTCAGGGTTTGTGTATTCAGAGATGCTTTACATCTTCAGTGCCTGCCCAGCATATCACTGTCTTGGATTTGGCTGGGATCAAACTAATTTTTCTTCTTAATAGCTAGAATAGTGCTGTGTTTTGGATTCAGTATGGGGTTTGGTTATGAGGAGAATGTCAATAACACTCTGATGTTTTTAGTTGTTGCTAAGAAGTCAGGGACTTTCCAACTTCCCATGTCCTGCCCGTGTGCAGGTGTACAAGAAGCTGGTAGGGAGCACGGCCAGAGCTCCAGCCCCAAACTGGCCAGTGGCATATTCCATATCACACAACGTCATGCTCAGTATATGGAGGCAGGTTGATCAGGAAGCTCATTCTCGCTTCCAGGATTGGGGTTTTGGGTTTCTCACTTCTCTGGGATCGCTAGCTGGGATTGGGCTGGGCATCAGTCAGCGGGTGGCGAGCAACTGCATTGTGCATTATTTGTTTCTATTTTCTATTATTATTACTATTATTATTAGGCTATTTTATTTCAATTATTAAACTTTATATCTCACAAGTCTCCTTACCTTTATCTCTGCAATTCTCTTCCCCATCCCCCCATCCCCCAAGTGTGAGTGGCTGCTGGCTGTGTTCAAACCACCACAGCCATTTACAACACTACTACAGAAGTAAACGTGTCCAAGAAGCGTGCAACTTCATTGTTGTTGTTACACCCCCCCCCCCCCCAAAAAAAAAAAAAACCCA